GCTAAAAGCAACAATTACACAATACTCTACGCCCTGTCTCAAAACAAAAAACATTTGTTTCGTGTTTGCCAATAAAAAGCTCATTTCATCAATGTCATGTCATGTTGCACACTTTGTACATGGGGAACCCACATCAGATAGTTGTCGGAACACGTGCGGTAATTATGGTGGGGCCCAATAATTTTGTTTAATAATGCAGCAATCGAAAAGAAATACAAATGATGGAAAGAGCTGGATGGACATGTTAGGTTCAGCCGAAACGATTATGGCCATTAGGTAAATGAATCAATGAAAAACATGAGGATGCCTTAAATTAACGAATATTAAATACACTTTACCAAGTAGAAGCTTTTTATATATTTCATCTTAAAACACAGTTATTAAATTTGCTGTAGTTAATCTCATAAATTGAAAAGTAAATTTCAACAATTGACAAATTCAACTAGTTGCATTAATATATGGACTTCCAACAACATCAGGGCTTGCCTTGTCTCGCCTGATTTCATGTCTAAGTCTCTAGGCCCGAGACCTCAGCCTGGCCTTAGTCGGCCAAGTTTATCAAGAAACAAGTTTCCGATTGGATGTTATCGAATTACATTCGCTACGTGTGTTATTGAGAGTTCCGCTAACGAAACGCTTTTAAATGTACTCACAGAGAACTGTGGTAAATTAAATAAATGAATGCGGCATTTGCCTATATTTAAATTTGATCGTCGAAGTCGTAAGAAGAATGCGCATGCAAGATTAAGGTGAAAAACATTCGGACACGCCCCAGCGACAATGAACTTGAATCCCCAAATATATTCAAATCAAAGCGTTAACAAAAATTTACCGGACTCGAATGCATGAAATGTGACTGTCACAGATAAATCATGCAAGGTGCACCCTTAACCAACTAATGGAATTGTATAGTTTTATGGAAAATTTTCTAGAAAAAGAAAAAACAAAATAAAAAACATGGATAGGAACACGACTAGCAGCCAGGTCGCAGCCAGATCTTCAACAGGTAAAATATGAAAAAACATATAGCAATAGATATTTTGTTGAAGGAATTATAAAATCCTCTGTGCAGTCAGGTAGTCAATTGCTTGAGGTTTGTTGTATGCATGGCCTTTGTTGGCTCAGAGGAGTTCAAAGACATTTGATTCTTTGGGGATTGGAACTTATGTTGCGTGTGCCGCAGCAGTGATTCAGAACATAAAGGACTTCAAGGTAATTAAAATGATACATTCTTTCATTTTTTATTGATGCCACACCCAGGAACTCAATGCCAAATTCCTCACCCTTAGCTTAAGCTGGATACCTGAGACAATTACTTAGGATCGGTCAGCTTTGTGGCTCGTTACTTGGCAACTATTGATTTGATGTGCAAGCCAAACAAATCCGATCCGATCCAATCAGAACCCAACCCAAAAACCAAACCACAGACAACGCTTGGAACGCAGTGAAATGCAAATGATTGAGCATCGGATCGCTCTAGTGTGAATCTGGAGCAAATCAATATCAATATCAATATCATGCTGAATGGCGTGTTGTCTTTCATATGGGAAGTTGTTGACCCAGACAATAAAACAGATAAGACTAAGGCTCTATGGTAATTGAAAAACTGGCGAAGTTTGAAATCTGAAATTGTTTAGAATTTATTTTATTTTAATACGAAGAAAAACCAACTCTTCAGACAACGTCGCATGTTTTTATGCTGCACCTCCGATTGCGGCAGACTGTCAACTGATTCCATTTGATGTATAGCATTTATTAGGCCCCAACCCGCTGCACCTCCCTATCGCAGATCATTTGTCAAAGTGTCATAGCTTCGATTGTTGTTGTTGTTTTTGATTTTGTGTACGGCATTGTTTATAGTTTGGCGTGGCATCTTCTCTTTTTTTATATATATTTTTTTGCCGTCACATCGTCGAAATCTGAGCAATGTTATTGTCTGAAAATTGAGCAACATGCTCCGGTTCGGCATGCGGCTGAGATGGGTTAGCTGAGATTAGCATTCTAGCATCTCGAATGAAATAGCATAGAATGAGAATAAGAATGTGAATGTAAATGTGGATGAGGTTTCAAATGAAGCAGACAGTAAATAAAAATGAGCAGGTTTTTTAGGATTAAGCAATGGGCCGGTAGCTGAAGTCAAGCCAGTTGAAAAGATGCGCTCCAAAGATTAAAATAATAATAGGGATTGCACAATAAAAGGCTGAAAACCGGTCGCCAAGCAAAACCGGTTCGAACCAGGATTGGGCACAATTTTCATATGAGAATCTTCAAATCAATTCCAAACAATTGCAAATGCAGACATTACATGATTTCTTTTAAGGAAATTCGTTGTAAACTTTGATGAATCACGCTTGCAGACAATTTAGCCATAAAAGTAATCGAGTAAAACACGCCGTCAACACCTGTTGCCGCTTTTGGTATTCCAACGAAGCACTTGATACATGAAGTGCCAGCTCTTGTGAATTACTCCAACAACTACATCACATCGAATTTTACTCCTAACTAATAGCTGCCCAATCAGTTTTCAGTTAACCGAACTGTCATAACAAATTATAAAAAATATTGTAATTTTCAATAGATTTTTGCCAGCCCACATCGAATTGCGGCTGGCCCGCGAATTGTTGTCAAGCGTTGGGGAAGAAATTGCTTTCATATTGATTTGATTTATGTACAAATTATTTTTGGACAGCGTACCCAAAGACTTTTCAAACGCTTGTTGAGCATTGATTTTTGCCAACTCACAAACTGAAACTGGGTTAATTGGATTGGCCTCTAACAGTAAAAGGGCCTACACGGCATTAATCGAATTTTATGTGTAGGCATCGAAGCAGGAATCAGGGAGAGCGTGTGCACAATAAAAATCAAAAGAAAAACCATTCTATTAAGTGCAAAATCCGAGCGAAAAATTGAGATATGTTTGGATTGATCAAAAGTGGAAAATGCTTTAAAATATCATATATTATATGCAACAACATTTATAGAGAGAGTCGAACATAATATTTGCAGCTTTACTTTTTAACCAACTTAAACATTTCTATTAAGTCAGAAATCCAAGTAAAAAATTGAGATATATTTGGATAAAAGTGGTAAGGTAATAAAAATATTACACCAAATAGCATTGATCTTATAATATTCTGAACTATATAATGCTGGATCTGGCGACCTTTCCATATTATAACAATAATGTATTGTATATACAGAAGAATAAAAAAAAAAAAAAATTTGCAGCTTTACTTTTTATCTAACTTAATGGCAACATTGTAAAATACAAGATATAAGAATTGTTCTCCGTTTTAGTATAATCTCTAATTGGGTTCTATTCACATTTCTCAACTGAAAAGCACAAAACACATTTTCCACCCAATTATGTGTGCATTGTGAAAATGTGCCGTTAAATTGTTTTTGGCATTCTTTTCCGAATGGTATTTTGTTTGTGAGTTTGATTAAATGCATTGATCATTAAGAATCTTACGAAAACTAGTTTAGACAAAGGCAGCAGCACAGCTAGCGGCAGCTTCCTGCCCGGTCGTATCGTAGATGAATGCCGAAGGTAAGCCACATTTTCGACACCGAAACCTTACCAACACAAACAAAGACACCTGCCGCTGCTGCTGCTGGCCAAGTCAAGTTGGCCAAGCAACAATCTGATGCTGTGGCAAGTCCAACTCAAGCAAACAATGAGCCAGCAGCCAGTTGGTCTCTGGCCGGCTTGTGGTATGCGCTTTATAATTGTGCAGAGCCGCAAAAGTGACCCACTTTGTGGCACAAGTTGCAGGTTGACCAACTAGCTTAGGTTTTGGTAACAATGCATTAGGCTACACTAATAGAGCCTGTTGTTGTTATGGCCACAGTAGCTCGGCCCAAAATAACTGGAAGCCAAATTCTGAGGGCGTTCCAAAGCCCGCATCCGACTAAAACGCTTTTAAGCGAGGCAGAATTGTACAGCTGATAATACCCTATAATTTATGGACATGTTTACGAGTTTTTAAAGTTCTTTTTGAAAGTTCTTTTGTTCTCACAAGAAATGGAATCCCAATAGAATTGTGACTTACACCTCCAGATAAGCTTTGGAGTGCTTAGAGAAAGCGAAAAAACTAAATTCATTTGAATTTTGAATCATTTATTTAAAATTCATTTTTGTTTTATTTTATTTTTCGGTCACTTTAAGGAGAAAATAATATAAATTGAGGTGCCACCTTGTTATTATGGAGAAGCTGCGCGAAAAGCTTGGTCAATTGTTCACTCGAAAGTATTCGGTGGATAAGCCCATGGTGGATGAGGACGAGGAGGCGAGCGAGGAACTCCAGACCAAGGATGTGGTCGATCTAATGCAGCAGCAGCAACAGCAACAGGATCAGCAGAAGGAAAAGCCAAAGACATCGCAGAAGAAGCCAGACAGCGAAAGAGAGTCACATTATGATAACTACAAGCAAAAGAAACCAAGTGCCTATCCGTTGACAACGGCAGATCTTCCAGTGGAAGCGGAACCGATCGCAAATTATATAGATAACATAGATCCGGGCATCAACTATGAGATGGAGTTTGTCGATTTTATCGATCGCAATGCACCGCAGGGATTTGGACAGAAACTGGAGAGTATGCTGCCCTACCTGGGCCTCAGCTTTGTCACCTGGCCCGGCTATTGGGTGTGGCGCGGTTATCAGTGGCAAACCAAGCGCCGAACCGAAAGGATCGGCATGTACATACAAAGGGTAGGTCCACATAGAATTAAGTTAATTTACTTTAATCTAATTAAACATTTCTGGCATAGACCTTCCAGCATGCCAAGCTGATGCAGGTGGCCATTCTGAGCCTTGGCCTGCTGATGGCCACCTCGGCTCGCTCCTCATCGGAGCCGCTCGAAGTACATGAGGTGTCCTACAGGTCGAAACGAAAATGAAAACATGTGGAGCAGCAGGCTGTGCCGGTGGTGTGGTTTACAAAAAATATTACGAAACATTTCAGATTAACTCGAGACAGCATCAAAATTTGAAGAAAATTTAACAAAAAAATAAAATAAATATCATGGGCATTACGAACTTCTTCGAGAGCGTTAAAAATTGGACAGTGGCGCGCGTCCAAGGCACGCTATCGTCCAAGGATGATGAGCGTGAGGATGTGCGACGATTCCCCAATCTGGGCGAGGACATACAACAGGTGGTGCATACGCCGGAATTTGAGCAGGTCTTGGACGCAGCCTCGCCGTTCCTGTTGGCCAGCATGGGCGCCTGGCCGGGCTATTGGCTATATCGGGGCTTCGACTATCACTCGCACAGGGCGCACGTGCCGCTGCCCGTATACATCAGACAGGTGAGTAATTAGTTATATATATAAATTTAATCCCAATTTCTTATCACCTTGCTAGACCTTTTACCAAGCCAAACTGCTGCAACTATTGATTATCATGACGGGCATTATTAGCATGGTCAAGAATCACAACAATTTCCGTATTTTCCCAGTTAGCAACAAGGACTAGTTAAATCGTTCAAATTAAAAGAAAAATCACAACAAAAATTGGTGCAAATCTGAAATCATGAAGTTCGTATCATTGAGAGCCTTTCGCACAGTCCCTTTTGAAACTAAAAATTCCTCCCATTTGTTATTTTAATAAATAAACACTCTCAAATGCAATTGACTTTAAGTGAAGCGTCTCTTATTAAAAACTAAACCGGGCAATTATTTATTGCTGCTGCTGTTGTTGTTTCTTGGCCTCGGTCTTGAGCATTCTTATTTCTTTGACCAGAGCCTGAGGGTCCATGCCAGCCGCCAACAGTTCGATGCTTATCCTAATGGCATCCGGATTGAGACCTGCATTGACCAGCTCGGACATACCATGGATTACTTGGACGATTTTTTCGGTATCTTTGGCACGGCCATGCGAATTTATAGATTCCTGGTTGGACATGTTGAAAATTTCATTAACTAATTTGTTTCGACTTCAAATCAAAGGCCACAAATTTTGTTGCTTATGTCTCAGACTGCTTAGAGCTCTGACAATAATTTGAGTAGAGTAGCTAACAAAAGGAATCATATGGGTTGCAGCTTTAAAGTTTGCTTTCTTCTCAACTCGATTGTCTACAATTCTGCATGTAAGTTAAATTTAAAAAGGTTTCAAGTTCAAAGTTCACAACCATCACTAATGAGCCGACTAATCTACTTAACTGCTATAAATCAAAACAAACAACACCACACACACATACACACACTCACACACACACACATAACAGTAACTGTCGCCCCCGGCCAAGTGGAAAGATAAATTAGCTACAAATTAAACAAATTACTTAAGTTTTCAGCTTTGAAGTGCAGCACGCAGAGCAAAGTGGAAAAACACACACAGAAAATCACAGTCAGCGAACAATTAACAAGTAAACGGTGGACAATTATGGAGAACGAAACTTGTATACCCTGCAATATAAATGCATATGCAGATATGCATATTCGTGAAACTGAACTCAAAAATAAAATGTAATTTAAATATTTTAAAAATTATTTCTCGCGTGGCAAACATCATTAAATTATTTATTTATTTATTTTTATATTTAAATATTTAAATCTTTGTATCTTTATATATTCATGTATTATTTGATGGTCGATTAAACGAGCATCAACATAATTATTTAATATATAAGTATTTGAAAATTGGATGCTAAAAGCCTTGTTTAGAATATATTATTTATTTATTTCTAATTACATCACCGACACGATGCAGGTGTTTTATTTGCCCCTCCGGCCAGCTATGCCCTTAATTTGTAGTGTATTTTAAGCCTCTTACAAGATCTTTTATTAAAGTACAGTTGTTGTTTTTGTTGTTGTGATAAGTAAAAGCGTTTTGGTGATCTATGTGATCTGTTGTATATCAAGTATCTTTGTTATAGTTGTTGTAGCTTTAGTCTCACCTGTATGAGATACATTCTGATGCCGTTGCTGGTGTTGTTGCCCCGGGCTCCGTTTTACAACCAAACACGCACACACACACACTCACAAAACGCAGATGAATATAATTATGCAGCAGCGTCTTAGAGAGGGTTGGGCCAGAGACAGGTATCTGCTGGTATCTGCAATCTGGTATCTGTATCTGTATCTCTATCTGTACACTCTGCGATCGTTCTTGTTATGGCTTTGCTCTATTTGGAATGCAGCTCGCGTTTTTTTTTTTATGATTGTGCTGCTGCTGCTGCCAGTCTATTTGCTTTCGAGTTTAGAGCAATTGTTTCAATTAAATAGAAATTTGTTAACTTTCTCACTTAATGAAAATAAATTGAACACAATACAAAACGTTTTTGTGTGGCTTGGCAAATGTTCAACTTCGTCAGAAAACGAAGCGATTTCCAGCGCGGAATAAATAAAAATGTGCTTCTGTGAAGAAGTTGGACTTCCTGTGTCTTATTGTACAGTTTTATATAGTCTGGCTATATAAAGGTAAATAGTCAACAGTTCAAAATTGTTAAATGGAAAATAAAAAGGTTGCAATGCTTGTATTTAGTTATATATATTTATAGCCATTTTATTGATGGGATTGGTTGGACAACAGCAGCTGTTTCTTGTATTACTGTCCACTTTTTGACACCACGAATATTATTTATTTTCTGTGCTTCGGCCTGCGTCACAAGGTTATGGATTGTCGTTGTTTGTACACACGGTTCACTATGGCAATTTTTGCGCTTGAAATGCCTTTACAAGTTGTTCCATTAAATCGACCAAACAAATTTCAAATACGACCGCGAGCTCAATGCATTGGAACTTGAGCAATTTATAAATCCATTGTGTTTTGGAGACTTTAGAAAATTATATATTTTATTAATACATTTTTTTAGTATTTACAGTTCGTTGGGTTCTTGTTTTTAGACGAGTTAAGAGTGATTTTCTTCTTTTATTATTTTTGTTAAAATTCGATTTATATTTATTTCAACACATCTCCGGTGTTCCCTCTGTGGGAGTTGAGCGCGAACTAAACGTTAAAGATCCAAAAGTTCGGCTGTATACCCCGTAACATAACTGATACGAATGTTATACTCGAAATGGAAATGTTGAACTCAAAATGGCACTGCTGTTGGAACGCGTTTTGTGTCTGGTTGAAACGAATACGAACACATAACATCATCATGACGTTCGAACGGGCAAGTGTTTGTTGTTGTCCAACCGAATGCCATGGAAATGCGTGCATGAGTTATGTTCGAGTCGAGAAGCCGCGCATTCGATTTAGTTGCGTTGCGCTTCAAATGTGTGGAAAACAAACATTTCCTACGACAGCCGTGGAATTTGTGTTATTTTCGGGGGCAACCCAAAGCAGAAATTTAGTTCTTTTGATATGTAATTTGTATTATGCGGGGGATTGGCTTAATGGGCATTAAATGGTTCAAATATTGAGAGGGCGAAGTAAAAGATTTAATTTAAAGTAAAGCTAAGCTAGTTGTGTTGTTTTCTCATGAGTACAAACATTTAAATGAGTACAAACATTTAAATAAAATGAAACCCGAACTTTTAATGCTTTCTAACTTTCCTCGCAAAATTCGCATATCTTGCGCGAAAATCTCCGGACAGTGGAACGCATTGCAACAGGTTCCTTTTGGCCTGCAGGCACAAAAATAAAAGCGTAAGCATAATAATTATACTGGCCAAGAGACCGACTACCACAAAGTGCGCAACCACAATAAATTTAAGAGAAACAGGAAATTTTTGTACGATAACTTGTAAAACATTTCATAACCTGACATAAATCGCAAAAATGACGAACGCACAAAGCAAAGGAGTCAATAAACAACAAAAAAAAAAAACAAAACAGAGAGGAAAAAGTGACTTATAAGGGGCGTGGCAAACAGCTGACTGCCACAAAGTGACAACCGAAGTAACCAGCGAACTGGACATTGTCTAGCGAACACCCTTTTGGCCAGCTGGGGCATTGTACCTCCTGATACTCCCATACTCTGAAAGGGGCCCCGCGTACAGCAATTAAGTGAAAATGAAACTTGCAACTCGCGCTTGTTGTTGCTGTCTCTTATGGCTCGAATGTGTGGCAGGCAGCGTGATAAATGCGGTTATAAAAACCTGCAATCAAGCAGCTTACCAAACGAAAGTGAAACAAAAGTGCCGACAAACCAACCCAACCAACAACCAACCGACTAAACAACCAACAACCGACCAAACAACAACAATCCGAACTGAGACGAGCGTCGGGCGAAAAACTTGCAATTTCCATTTTAATACTCAACAACTTTCGGCTAGAGGCAGGCCAAAGGAATCTCGAATCGCGAGTCGTTTCCACAATCACAGCAAAACATGAAGTGGATGCCATGTTGCGGCACAGCCGCAGACTCCGCTGAATGGAATACCAAAGCGCTGAGACGCCCCTGAGATTTAAACGAGCCACAATCCCAGACACAACACATAAGAGTTACCCACCCTTTCAGCCCTCGCTGCGAGGCTCTGCATCTTCGTTGTCTGATGGATCGGATAGTCTGGGCTTGATTGGCGCTACCAAGGAGCACAGCGTCGAGCCACAGCGGCGGGCGGAGCTCTGTTGGGTATGTCATCAGCATAAATTTTACTTCGCATTCATCATAATTTTTATGCATTTAATTTGTGTTATAAATTGTCTGCCTTGTACAATGCATGCATGCATGGTCTTTGGCCAAAAGGGCCGCCCCAAAATTAACTGAGATTCGCTTTCGTATACCCTGTGTCCATTAAATTGGCAACAAATGCATTTTTGTGAGCCTACGATACATGCAGAAAAACTAACTTTAGGTACAGGGTATGCTCTGGTTGAGCAAAGAGACGTCTCCGACTGCATTTTACACATTTTATATACATATATTCCAGATCAGCATTAACTATCTGCCAAACGGGCAGTTAACTTAATAAAGTTCATGCATCAATAAATTATTTCGTTTTTGTTTTTTCAAGATATATTGACTTTTAAGTACTTCCTCCTTATATTGCCCGAAATCTTATCTACAATACTATATCATAGAACTATGGGAAAAATCGATAAAATTATTATTTTTCTCATAACTCTTCTGTTTTGTAGGCAGCAATAATTGGCTGCACAATAATCCAAAGATAACTTTATATTAAAACGGACTTCTTATCATAGGGCCAATTTGATTTTAACCTACACAGACCCTTGTTATTTTTTTGGTGTTGAAATAATTATTCACTTGAGAAAAGATATAAATGGTAATTGGAGCAGGAAGTCATTTCTGGCAATAGCTCTTAAGCTCAGGCTTGGGCCTATATAGCTTGTACTTCAGCACCAATCAGATGCACACAAAGTGTACAAAATAAACTTGAAAACCAACTCAAGACTATATGGCATATAATCAGGCAGCAGACATGGTCTGATATGTCTGTGCGGTCGCCCCGCTGGCTGGAGGTTTAAGATCGTTAGGCGCGACAGCGAATCAGGTAGTTAGCCAGGTAGTCCCGAGCGAAAGACGCAGTGAGTATCTGACGGATGCATAAGTATTTCGCAATCAACGCAGCCGCCTGCGCAAATGAGGCATTTGCTTATGTTGCAAATGAATGATTTACGAGGCAGCGAATGGGGCGACTTTTTATGCTCTAAAAGGGACCCATCTAATGGACAGACAGGTAGAAATAACCTCGAAAATCCCATTCCCGACAGGAACTGGCTGCCTT